ACCCCACTCCTGACCAGGCTGAAAGCTGGATTCTGGCTCCCATAAGAGCAGCTTGAGGATCCTGGATGGCTGTGGGGGGCCTCAGACCATCCATTTACATGGGGGAAGGGGGGATAAAAGCAGTCTCAGTTTGCCCATGTGACTCTTACCATGGCCTGGCTGCAGCTCTTTGACCAAATTTCTAATAGCAGAAAAACACACATCCTGCTCCCCTCCCCAAAGCCACTCCCCTTTTCTGAGACCCTGCTCCCCACTCATTCCATCCATCCTCTCTTCATCACTCACACTTCCGCCATCCTTGCTCACTTGCTCATTTTCTCCAGGCTGGGGCAGGCGGTTGTTGGTGGGAGGGTCTTGGGTGGGGTTGGGGATGAGGAGTTTGGAATACAAGAGGCTCCCAGACAGAATCTGAGGGGTTTGCAGTATGTAAAGGGGTTCTGTGCAAGGGGTTGGCATGTGTGAGGGAGTATGGGCTCTGGGCCTGGGGCTGTTCTAATTAGGTGTTCAGGGTAAAGGAGGGGGCTCAGAGTTAGGATGCAGTAGGGGCTTTGGGCTCCAATTGGCAAATACCTCAGGGTAGTTCCCAGAAGCATTTGGCATGTCTCTTCATCTCTTAGGTGGCAGTATATGATAGCTGCCAACTGGGCTCCTTTTTGACTGGGTGTTTCAGTCAAAAGCTGAACACCTGACAACTCTATCTTTAGCCTCCAAGGCCTCACCCTCAGATCAGGCCAGAAGCTGGAGCTGAGTCGGGATACAAGCCTTGCAGGCAGCTGTGGGGAGCTGTGGACCTGCCACATCAGTGGATGTGGAACATTTTTTCAAATGGCGGTGATGAGCTGCATAACCTTACCCTTGTTCATGCTCCCTAAAGTGGGGCCCAGGAGCAATGCCATGGCTCTGGGAGAGATGGACGTGGATAGGGGTAAGACAGCCAAGACTGGGTCCACATTAAGGATGTTAAATATCGACTAGTTAATAGGCACTTTCGCATTCCTCCTTTGAAATGTACAAGAGCCCCCGCTGACTTTGTGCTCCACATGAGCACTTCCACTTTGAAATGCACAAGAACCCCTGCTGGAGCTCTTGTACATTTCAAAGGAGGAATGCGGAAATGCCTATAGACTAGTGGAATGAGCTGCTGCTTTGAAGTACCCCCCTTCTCCCTCTGTTGCTGCCTCTATCTCAGTGGTCCCCAACCCATTTGGAGCTGCTGAGCACCAGGAAGCTGCTGCTTTGAAGTACCCCCCTTCTCCCTCTGTTGCTGCCTCTATCTCAGTGGTCCCCAACCCATTTGGAGCTGCTGAGCACCAGGAAGCGGGGCCGTTCGCCTGCCGGGCGCCAGAGGGCGGGGACACTCGCGCACCCGGAGACAGGGCCGCGCATATGCCACACCCCCATGAGCTACGCGCCTGGGGCCAGCAACCCCATGCGCCACGTGGCCACAGGCGGGGCCGCCCATTCGCCACAAGCCTGGGGCTGGCGCCCTCCAGAGCTGTGCGCCCAGGGCCGGCACCCCCCATATCCGGGCACCTGGGGCCAGCGTCCCCCATAGCCATGCGCCTGGGGCTAGGGCAGCCAATTTGCCGTGCGCCCGGGGCCGGCACTCGCCATGCGCCCAGGGCTGGCACCGCGTATGCGCAGCGCGCCTGGGGACGGCATCACGCATGCACCATGCACCCAGGGTGGGGCCAGCCCCGAGCACTTGGCAGGCGCACACAAATGCCCCTGCGGGTGCCATGGCACCCATGGGCACTGTGTTGGAGACCACTGCTCTATCTGATAGAGGCAGTAAGGGGGCGGAGTGACTAGTCGACTCGACTATCTGATAAGGATTTGCTTATTGGATAGCCGACTAGTCCTCCACCTTTAGTCCACACCTGGTGGTGGGTGGGGGAAGGAGGATGAGAATTGGGCCCAGAAGAGGCAGGGACTCATGCTCCTTCTTTTAGGAAGAACTATTGCATACTTCTAGCTATTTTTATGTAGATAACTCACCACAGGATTATCGGTCATACTGCATGGCTACGTCTACACTGGCCCCTTTTCCAGAAGGGGCATGTAAATTTCATGAGTCGTAGTAGGGAAATCCGTGGGGGATTTAAATATCCCCCGCGGCATTTAAATAAAAATATCCGCCGCTTTTTTCCGGCTTTTTTAAAAGCCGGAAAAGAGCGTCTACACTGGCCCCGATCCTCCGGAAAAAGTGCCCTTTTCCGGAGGCTCTTATTCCTACTTTGATATTTAAATCCCCCGCGGATTTCCCTACTATGACTCATGAAATTTACATGCCCCTTCCGGAAAAGGGGCCAGTGTAGACGAGCCCCATTAGTTAGTTCTCAGTTCATTTGAATTGCTTGCCAAATCAATTACCTCGCCTGCGCTACGCTCTACCAGATTGGCTACCTAAGGCTATGTCTAGACTGCAGGCTTCTTTCGAAAGAGGCTCTTTTGAAAGCATCTTTCGAAAGAGCCTCTTTCGAAAGATCGCATCTAGACTGCAGGCGGATCTTTCGAAAGAGCAATCCGCTTTTTCGAAAGAGAGCACCCAGCGAGTCTGGATGCTCTCTTACGAGGAAGCCCTATTTACATTGAAGAACGCTTTCTTTCGAAAGAGGAACTTTCGAAAGAAGGCGTTCTTCCTCGTGAAACGAGGTTTACCGCCATCGAAAGAAAAGCCGCGTTCTTTCGGCTTGAGTCTGGACGCAGGGGAAGTTTTTTCGGGAAAAGGCTACTTTTCCCGAAAAAAACCCTGAGTCTGGACACAGCCTAACAGAAGATGCAGTTTATCCTGGTATGTGCAATTATCTTAAGGTAGTGTATAGAACCCATGGGGTTATACACATCTGTGGGTTATCTAAAACTTTTTTTACACATTCAGGAAAAACCGTGGGTTATGCACGGGTGTGGGTTATACACAAGTGTGGGTTATATATGCTAATTTACGGTAATTGAAATGACAGTGTCTCAGATCCTCAAAAGTATTTAGGCTCCTAACTTCCATTGATTTTAATAAGGCAGTTAGGAGTATCTGGGGTAATGGACCAAAACTGCTAGTCTTGATAAGGTAGAACAAGGAAGAATACGCATCTGTTATTAAATGACCAATATACTTGCCACTACCAATGCTTCAGTTATCCTAGAATGGGCATTTCTTGTTATCTCCTGTACCTACCAGTGATGTTGAGTTCTGAAGGGTATTTTTCCTAACAGCTTGCTTCTGGGCAGGCTTTCTGAACCGCATGCACAGTAATTGTTTCTTTAATCCTCTTACTAGCAAGTGACAAGACATGTTGGATGTACATTTATCAATCTGTCTGATTTTAATTATTTAAATCACTTTTGCAGATGTCATAGTATTGCTCACATTTGGTGTGCCAGTCATAAACCTAAATGTCTATGACACTAAGAGGATAAAGACAATGCTTCTACTTTTTACAGTTTTTCTTTGAAAGTGATTTTTAATTGGACATTGGATTTTTAATTGGACATTGGATAAAATATAGTACATTCTAAGCGTGGGCAGCTAGGGAAGCGGGCCTGATTGCCTGGGTGAGTGAATGAGAGAGGCAGGGGCCGCCCTAGACTAGCTGCCAGCAACTGGGGCCCTAGGCGAACCAGGCAATTGGTGCCCCCACCTCCAAACCCCTCAATGATATTGTGCCACCATTTGGTGCCCCATTTAACTTGGCACCCTAGGCTACTACCTAGTTTGCCTATATGGACGGACTGCCCCTGGAGAGAGGCAGTGTTAACAGATATGTGTATGTGGGGGTGGGGAGCAAAGTTAAGAGGAGAGTAGGTATGTGAGAGAGGCAATGTTAAAGGGTGAGTAAAGGTGTGAGAAGGGTCTGGTTTAAAATGTAGGCAGAAGTTTGTGTATGTTACAGTGTAACAGGATGAAGGGGTAAATGGGTATGTGTGTGAGAGGTGTCTATGTGAGGGGTGGAAGTGAAAGGTGGGTGAGGGACGGGTGCGAATCGGGAAGGATTAAGGGGTGTGTATAAACTAGGGTGACCTGACATCCAAAATGATTGGAACCGTCTCCCCCGCCCTCCCCACTCGGCCACACCAAACGAGTTGCAGTTTTCCACACATGCAATCTGGACACTCTAGTTAAGTGCAGGAAAGGCGGGTGGGAGAGGCGCAGCGCTAGGGCGGGGTGTGTGGGTGGCAGGCACAGGCGGGGCGGTGTGAGGGGGGGCAGGTTAGGATGACCTGACATCCAAAATGATTGGAACCGTCTCCCCCGCCCTCCCCACTCGGCCACACCAAACGAGTTGCAGTTTTCCACACATGCAATCTGGACACTCTAGTTAAGTGCAGGAAAGGCGGGTGGGAGAGGCGCAGCGCTAGGGCGGGGTGTGTGGGTGGCAGGCACAGGCGGGGCGGTGTGAGGGGGGGCAGGTTAGGA